GATCTTAAGCGAAATGGGTGTTGTTGCTTATAGATTGAAACTCCCTGAACGAATCAAGGTGCATCCCACATTCCATGTTAGTTTCTTGAAACCTTTCATTGAATACAAAAATGATTCTTCACATACCCAAGCTAAAAAAAGCTCTTTCTATGATTAGGAAACAATTTGATGATGAAATTAAGAAGATCCTAGATCACCGGAGGATGAGACAACATAAGAAGAATCACCAAATGGAGTATTTGGTGAAATGGAAGAGGGATAATGAATTAATAAGATTAGACAATTATCATATTCGTGTCATGACCGCGAATTATAGCCAAAATTTGTTAGTCTTAATTTTAAATTTGTAAAAGCTCTTAAGAATCAAACAAAAAAGAACCAAAAAATGGTAGAATATGATATAGATTCTTTCTGTACAAAAGTGGTAGAACCAATTATTCCAATATCAGATTCTTCCACAATATACATGTTGATAAGAATTAACAATTGAGTTTTATAGTCACCCTCTTCAAAGTCAGAATTGGGCGGCCTCCACAGGGAATTTTTGCTCAAGGAAAGTGAAGTTATTTTAGTAGAAAGATAAGAATATTTTAGTCAATTGAATAAAATAATTTTATATTTTTAGGTTTATAAAACTGTAATTTATGTATTTTAAGTTGAGAAAATTAAAGTCGTATTTTAGTGTAAATGCGAGAATGAATTGAAATGGACGTCGAGGAAGGTGACAAATTGATCCATTACATAATTGCCATAAAAATGGGACCTCAAACCAAGAGTGGTACACAACATGCATGCTTCATACATATATAATCTGTTACAATTATTCTTTTTTAAAAGAAATTAAAAAAGTTTTTTTCATTATTAAAACATGTTAATATTAAACTATTTAAATAAAAAAATTAAATTTAAAAAATAACGAATAGGCAGAGCCGTTGCCATAATTTTTTTTTTTATTGTATAATTTATATTGTTTTATTAATTTAATTTAAAAATAATAATTTATAACAAATTTAGAATTTAATAAGTTTTTTTATAATTGACTCGTAAAAGTAGTTTTTGAATTTCAAAGGCTACAAAGCTTACTTTTGAATTGATTTATAAAACATATTATTTCATAAGTTACGAAACCTTTAGAAATGTGTTTACCAAACACGCTTAGGTTGTTATTTCTTATGCTACAACAACTCCAAAGTCCAAATTCATCCTTAAACTAATTTTAATATGAAATTTCTTTTATCATTTCTTTATTTTTATGGATCAATTTATTATTTTATATTGTCATGAACTTCTTTTTAGTTTATGTGATGACAAGGTTTTAGTCATTTAGGTGGACTACTCAGAGGTCTTGTGTTCGAATTCCCTAAAGTGTCACTTACCACATTTGCGACTTATCTGACCTATTAGGCTTGTAGGGTATTTAATAGAACCCAAAGATTAATTAAGATGCATGCAAGCTGGTCCAAGCACCCCGGTTATCAAAATAATAATAATAATTTCCTTTAAAATAAGGAATAGGGTCAAAATTGTTCCATATATATCTAATTGAGAATTTAATCCTAATTTTATTTAAACTAAAAATTATTATTAGTCTTTGATCTCTTATTCAATTGCTCTTTAATATCAAATCGGGTCCATTTCAAGCGGGTCTAATATAATTTTTACATGCTATGCCCAACACCTCAAATTAGCCTAACTCTAATAGATCGACCTAATTAACTCAAACAATTTCAACATACACCCAATCTTTTACGAGCATAATGTGACTAAAAAGTTAAGAAGTTTGTGCTGTTGAGATTTTCATATGAATTTAATTAAAATTAATCAAAAAATAAATCATATAATTCAATCCTAATTTTATAATGGGTCAGGTTTCAAAATAATGACTACAACAACTCCAAACTGATACCTAAACTAAGTTTAATACGAAATTACTTTTATTTTTCTTTATTTTTATAGATCAATTTGTTATTTTATATCATGGTGAACTTCTTTTTAGTTTATATTAAACACAAAAATGAATATTATATTAAATTTTTTATAGACTCATAAAAAGTTGATATGGACTTGTTAATAACTGATCCAACAAACTTAATCAACACATTATGATAAAAATCATAATCAAGTAGATAAAAATATGTAGGACGAGACCATCCCTTATAATGAAGGTTCCCTTAGAGATTTTAGACTAATTTAGCCAAATTCTAATATAACTCAAAACAATTTCAATATGCACTCAATCTTATACATGCATAATGTGACTCTAACCAGTTAAGAAGTTTGTGCTCTTGAGATTTTCATATAAATTCAATCAAAATTAATAATTAAAAAAAAATCACAGGATCCAACCCTAATCTCATTTGGGAGATCAACACATAGATTAAAAAAAATACTGAATTGAATGATCAAGGATTATAGGAATATTTGATTGTGCCATGTCTTCTAAATTTCTTGAATTTATTATTCTAATTATTAGTCCTCCTTTCAAAAAACGCTCCAAATGACGACTTCCAAGTTTCAATGTATGATTGCGTTTTGAAAAGGGAACTTTTAGTTAATTTATATTAATTTATTGGGCCCTCCCCTTATGAGCTCAATAAATTCTAGGACCCACACTTTCTCGTCAATCCAAAATATTTAATAATAAAGTGTAACAGGCAATCCTAATAGATCACATTAAGTCCATGGATATATCTCATTGGAATATGTGCAACTTACATATTTGAATATTGTTAATATTATAACCCAAAGATAAGATGATTTTATTATAAATGGATGATAATTAATAAAAGGTTATTTAGTCTATATTGGGTTATTTTTTAAGGAAAAAATTAATTAAAATACTATTTCAAATTTGGAATGAATAAAATAACTATAAAGTTTGAAACTCTTTACTAAATCACCATTTGCTTAAGCAATAAAGTTCATGACTATTTAATTTATTTCAAACTTAACATAGTGTTTTAATAGTCAACCCCCCGTGATTTAAATTTTATATTTACTTGAATATGTCATTATTTAAGGTTTACAATTGACCTTAAATTTTAAATTACATAGAGTATAGAAGACATAGTTTTTTAATTAAAACTCAGAGAATAGTTTACTTACTTATAAATGGAGTCAAAATCAAACTGAAAAATACCAAGAATGAAGTAATTGGCATTGGCATTGTGGACCTAGAAAGTTATATATCCAATGAATAAGGGTGACCCGTGACCCTACTTTATTGGAAGGAAGGTGACAATGCTTTTAAATAAAATAAAAGAAAGCTACTTAAATCAATTAAGTCCACAAAGCTGCAAGTTGTAAGTTCCCCATGCCCCCACATGAAAACTCCCTCTATCCAATTCCAATTCCAATTTTCCTAGGTACCCATTTTCTAACTAACAATGAGCATCCCATGTTCTCAATTCTTTTAACTTATCCACCTTCCATTTTGGGTTTGACAATTATGCCTTCTATTCTGTAATATGTGGTCAAGTTTTAGTCTTAAGTTATTATCAATCTCTCTTCCCTCTTTATGCTACATTTGAAGACTTTTTTTTTTTTTTTTTATTTGACTACAATGTGAATGAATTGTCTTGTTTAAGAAATTTAAATCTTAATTCATCCAAATCTTATCTCTCATCTACATTCACGATTATTAATATTATTATTAAAGTTTATTTATATATATAGTGATCATCGAGAGTGTTTAGGTTAATTTACATATATTTTAACTAATTTTTTAAAATCTTTTTATATAACAAATTATTAACATTGAGAAAACTTTTGTTATTTCATAAACATACCGAGAACTTTTGCCCTTATATCACGTCTTTAGGGAATGAAATTGTACGGCCAAGAATGAGAAGAGAAATAAGTAAAAGGGAGGGTAGACATAAGTATCTTTAAGAGGCGTGGAGAATGTGATGTGTAGGACACGTGGAAAGTTACTATTTGATAATGAGATGATGATAAGATCCCCATTGGGTTTCCCGTCTGTAGTAAAGTTAGGTGGCATAGTGACGTGGCAGTACAGCAGCCAAAACTTTAGTGAATAGAGTGGTGGAGAAGTCCTGGCCACTTGTTCGAGTGGCGGAGACATTCACTGATATACCCTACTACAGTACTACGACCAATACATTTCATTATTCTTTCTCTTTCCTTTGAATTCTCTGTTTTACCCTTCAGCCGTTTCATCCTCGATCGTCTCAAAGCTTCTCAATTTTCCATTCATCCCACAATTTCACGCTACTATAATTACTTGTTTTATTAGCCAATAAAAATTCTAATTATTTTTTATACATTCTATTTAAAAAGTAACGAAAAAAACATATTTTTAAAAATATATCAATATAATTAATTTTTTTTATTAGATTAGGACAAACATTAAAATAATTCAATTTATACTAGGATGTGATACAATGATTTAATTTTTTTACTCTTTCTGTGAACCGTTTATTTTTATTAATCTAATAATAATAAAAGAGAAGTTAAATGTATTATTTTTGTTTATCTAATAATATAACTGTTTATTTACATTAGATCAACACTGATAAAAAAAAAAAATTAAGTTACAAATTATCATGCTTATTATTGGTCAATCATAAAAGTTTATTATTCACATATTATTTATTATAAGTCTATCGTTGAATCGTTATGATTGATAAACACTATAATAATTTTATGAAGTTTTAAAGAATCCATATGATATAAATTCTATATATATACAAAAAGGATTTTCATATTTAAGATTGAAGAAATTATCTAATTAATTTCAATAATTGAAGAAATTAAATTATTATTTTCATATTAAAATTAATTTGTTGTTGGAAAACAATATCATTGGATAAGTTTACCTATAAATTAACCAATCATTTTATTTTAATTAAGCAACTAACCAATCATGTTTTGTGAAGGAGAGCCAATTAGAGTGGAAAGCCATACAGGGGTAGAATAGTCAATCAAAACTATCTTTAAAAAGTGTCAGTTCATAGATCAAGAAAGCAAAATATATTTCCAGCTGGGTTCTCGTGAAAACACTCTATATAACACGGAAGGGATCAGGATCTTATTTGAAGGTAATCAACCAACAATGGCCATGCCTACCCCCTTAAACAATAGGCTGTCCATGGCCATGGAAAGAACTGGCCAATGGTAATTTAACTACCAAATCCATTTGTCTTCTTTCTTCAAATTTATATTATTTATATGTGCAGAATAATAACTACAATTTCAATCTTTTTTACAGGGTTTTTTCTCAGGAAATTCCTACGGATGTTGTCGTTGCAGTTGGTGAAGCCAATTTCTCTCTTCACAAAGTAAATCCCACTTAGCTTTCAGTCGAATCATTTCTTTCTTTGTAAGCACTAACGCTAATATATTTGATAATGTATATGTCAGTTCATGCTGGTTGCCAAGAGCAATTTCATAAGGAAACTGATATTGGAATCGGAAGAAGCAGACTTGACAAGAATCAATTTATCGGAGATACCAGGAGGCCCGGAGATCTTCGAGAAAGCTGCAAAGTTTTGTTATGGAGTGAACTTTGAGATAACTGTACATAACGTTGCGGCTCTCCGATGTGCGGCGGAGTATCTAGAAATGACAGACAAATATTGCGACAATAATCTGGTGGGTCGCACTGAAGATTTCCTCAGTCAAGTGGCGTTGTCTAGTCTGTCAGGGGCGGTGGTTGTGCTTAAATCGTGCGAAGATCTTCTTCCCTTAGCTCAAGACCTTCAAATTGTTCAAAGATGTATTGATGTCACTGCTGTTAAGGTATAACATGAGTAGATTTGTTCACTTTTTAATAATATCAATTTGACTAAATTCATAAAGATGAACAAATTTAACATAACACTTTTTAATTTTGTGTTTACACATTATGAGTTGGACTTATTAGATAAGTTTTTTATTTAATTTTTTAACACTATAATAGATTTATATTTGATAATTTATTGATGATCTCTTGACAAAGATGAACAAATTTATCAACTATAGATAAAAAAAAGTTAAGCATATATATATAATCGACTTTTAATGTCATTATGTTGGTAAAAGACGGTGTATTATTTAAGAGGTTGAGTTTGATTCTCTTTGTTTGTTAATAATGGAGGTTTATCCGATCATTTAACTTCAAGGTTTTAGGATATTAATTTAGGTGAACACAAACTAGTTTGAACACTCGATTATAAAATATATATATATATATATATATATATATAGGTGCAAATTAAATTTAAAAAAAAAATTATTAAACTTTTTTCGCATCAAATGTCTGAAAATTTTGCTATTTTAGAGGTGTAGATTTGGGTTTTTAAAAAATTCAAACCAAATAAATTAAGTTAAAAACTTAAGTAATCTACATATACAAATATTAGTGAATAATTAGTGCAAATTAGCTGTAAAAAACAAAGTTTCTATTAAACTTTTTCGTGTTAAATATTGTAAAATTTTGTTTTTAGTTTCTTTTAGTGTTAGTGTAGATTTGGACTGTAGAAAAAAATTAAGAATAAAATTCTTGTGTGATTAATTAACTGTATGTTAATATCATGTAATATTTCAGGCTTGTTATGAGGCAAACTTCCCTTGTAGATCACCGCCAAACTGGTGGACAGAGGAGCTATCAATCTTAGACATTGAAATGTTGGCAAGAATCTTGACTGCCATGAAGAACCGAGGCGCCAAAGCCCTCACCCTCTCCAGTGCCATAATCACATACACTGAGAGATCACTGAGAGATCTCGTCAGAGACCACTCTGGCAAATTGTTGGATTCTATTGATTCTCAACTCAGAATCCAACAACGTGATCTTCTTCAATCCATTGTCTCCCTTATGCCCTCCGAAAAAGCCGCCTTTCCCATTAACTTCCTATGCTGCCTTCTTCGCTCCGCAATCTTCCTTAGAGCTTCTAACTCTTGCAAGAACGAGCTCGAAAAAAGGATCACATCAATACTTGAACATGTGACTGTCGATGATCTTCTTGTTCTTTCTTTCACTTACGATGGCGAGGGGCTGTTTGATTTAGAAAGCGTAAGGCGGATCATAAGTGGGTTCGTGGAGAAGGAGAAGAGTATGGCGGTTTTCAGCGGTGGAGATTTCAGAGAAGCTTGTTCAACCGTGATGCATAGAGTTGCAAAGACTGTGGATGCATATCTTGGGGAGATTGCAACGTATTCTGAACTCAGCATATCGAAATTCAATGGGATTGCTAATCTTGTTCCCAAAGGTTCTCGTAAGGTTGAAGATGATCTCTATCGTGCCATTGATATCTATCTCAAGGTAGGCAATTTCTAAATTAAACAGAATTCACTTAACTTATAAAAAATATAGATAAGAGCTAACTGCTAGTTGATAATGTTTAGGCGCATCCGAATCTTGATGAGATAGAGCGAGAGAAGGTGTGCAGTTCAATGGATCCATTAAAACTTTCATACGAAGCTCGAATTCATGCATCACAGAACAAAAGATTGCCGGTACAGATTGTTTTGCATGCTTTGTATTATGATCAGCTGAAGCTAAGGAGTGGTACGGATGATCGAAGCACACCGGATGCTGCCGCAACAAGAAACCAATTGCAGGCAGACGTTTCACTGATTAAAGAAAATGAAGCGTTGAGATCAGAGCTGATGAAGATGAAGCTTTACATAACGGACATAAAGAAGAATCAAGGGACAAGTTCTAGCAATAATAAAGTTGGCCAAAGAAAGCAAACATTTTTCTCTTCAATGTCCAAGACTCTTGGGAAATTGAATCCCTTCAAACATGGCTCCAAAGACACTTCAAATATTGAGGATAATGTTGGTGTGGATATTACAAAACCTAGAAGGAGAAGGTTTTCCATTTCTTAAGTGGTTTTGTTTTTAATTTTGTGTGATAATTTGTATAATAGTTTATGTACTGTATATGTTAATCCTCTTTAGACTTCTGGGGGAGAGATTTATGTTGTAATATGATTTTGTTTGGTTTATTGGGTGGTGAATTTTTGTTAATTTGAAACTAAATTATTGTACGAAAAATTAAGTGAAAAACTCTCGACAATTTACGAAATTATTGAAAAAATCCCCAAAAACATCTAAAACTCCTTATAGAATAATTCTCTAATAATATTTAAACAAACCCCTAAATATAGAGGCAATTTATAGCTTTGAATTATCAGCGGAATAAAAACACTATAAATGGTAGGGTTACAAATTCCATGATACTTAGGTGAATTTGAGATAGATATGAAACAAAGGTCCACTGGATTTGGTTTTAAAAATCCAAGATATCAGCACAGAGTGTAAATGAAAAATACTTAGGCCATTGGTTATGCAAGTTTTCAGTTTTTAGTAAGAATGGTTTATTCAAGCCCTATTGAAACTCTTTATAAACCCATTATTAATTAAATTTAATAAAAAATTAATTTATAAATCTCTCATCATTTTATTCTAATATTGTTCTATCTCTTATCCTTCGTTCACAATTTTTTTTTTTTTTTTTTTAATCTTAATCATGATTATCATCTTCGGATCTTGCAAGAGCTTTTGTTTTGTCTCCAAATCTCATAACCTTCCAAATTCCATCAATTCTACGAGTTAATTCAATAGTAAAACAACATAGGGAATAACGATCAAATTATGAATATATAGAACCCAAAAAAAAAAAAAAAAGTTTAAAAGGTTTTTAAAATCTTGAAAATATATATATTAAGGAAATGTGCAGTAGACTCATAGTAGTTAGTGGCCCAATCAAGAACGAAAATTTCGATTTACTTACGGAGTATAAAGATGTGGTGAATTTGGTTTATTAATATTGGATTTGATAAATATCAACAAAATTAGTTGTTTCAATACCAATCCTAACTAAATTGACTTTAACTGCACTATCAGATTGGAACAAAACTTATTTGGTTGATACATAGACCTACCAATTTGACATAGATCTAAGATAGTTCATTAAAACATGTGATGAAGAGATTCACACCTATCTTTTTAGAGGGGAAAGGAAAAAGAATTTTCGATAACTTGTTGATCCACGTTACCAGATTTTCAGATTTCTCATTTGGTAATTTCCTGGCTTGGTGAGTTGGTGTGATATAGAGATACGCCTATCTCTTCTATAACACTCTGGTGAAAAATCTAATTACCAAAAATAATAATAATAAAATAAACACAACTTTGGTTTTCCACTTCGGTAACCAACAAATAGATTCGGCCCATTAAAATTCACTTTCAAACTCTCCATTTGGTTGTAAATTCTCAGTGTTCAACATTTAATATGTTGTGCGAGGATGTGCAGCCAACTCAAAGCAAGCAGTGGTTCGGTGTAACTTGTGGGATGATGACCAAACTAAAATGAGTTGCAGTTAGATTGAAGCGAGTTATGTACATTGTGTGAAGCGAGTTGTTTGACAGTTATTTTCTAAATCATGGGTAAGCCTTATCTATGAAGATAAGCATTATCCACTAAAATCAAGAAGACGATCATGACTACTCTTCCTTCAATTTCGGCCTATCAATCACACAAAGGATCATGGGATTGATTCCCTAAAATCAAGCCATCATCCTGAAATCTTCTCTAGTAACCGTTATCATCTTATTATATAAATATCCCAAAGAAATCATTGTACAGGGTTAGCAAAATTAGAGAGAGCTTGTTTTGTAAGGCAAAAATTAATAAAAGAACAGTGGGCGTATGATTGATTTAATACGCCAAACCATTTTAAAAATTGTCTTTCGCTTTTGTTTTCTTATTTAAATCCATTTTGTTAGGATCCCACATCGAGATCTCACACCTACTATGTGTGGTACTTAAGCCTGGGGGCTTTGTCACCTATCAAGCCGATCTTTTGGGTTGGGCTCTCCTTTGGGTTTGAGTTCTAACATTGGTGCTTTCATTGAGAGTTGGGCTACAAAAAAGGTTACCTATAGGCTAGATTAAGGTGCAGTGTACTCTCCTTGGGAGAAGGTGCTACATTGAGTAACTGATAGGTGAGTGAAGCCACCCAAATGGGGAAAGGACTACTATCGAGTCAGTGTCAACATAGTGAAAGCCACCATGGACGTCAGCTCTTGAAGAGGGGTACAATGTTAAGATCCCACATCGGGATCTCACACCCACCAAGGGTGGTACTTACCTAAGGGCTCTTCCACCTATCAGGCCGATCTTTTGGGTTGGGCTCTACTTTGGGCTTGAATTCTAACACATTTCTTGCTAATCCTTAGAGATCACACTCACATTCTACTCAATCCCATAAAAGTTGATTGAGTATCTTGCATTGTTATGAGTTTTCGTATCAACATTTTGGCGCTGGAAAGAGGGCATTTCCCTTACAATCTCAATCAACAATCACAAAAAATAGTCATGACACATACCAGAGCATCCACAAGTGCAGTCGGTGCTAATTAGACCAGCAACAATGAAAAGACTATAGAATTTGAATCAAAGTCATATGATTCTTATTATAAATTGATATACACAGTAGGTATTTATAGGATTTACAAGAAAAATAAGTAAGGAAAGAAATAATTAGTGAGCTAATCAATCTCTAAAAATCCTACAGTGAATCCTATAATAATAACAAAGATCTTATAGCTAGCAAAAGTAAATTGTCAACAACTACTCTAATCTAATTATAGACAACAAATCTTGTGACTTTGATATTTTCCAACACTGCCCCTCAAACTGGTTTGAAGATATCCACCAAAGCCAATTTGCTAATTAAAATTTCAAATTGCATCTTTGACAATCCCTTTATGAGTATGTCCGCAACTTGTTCACCAGTAGGAATGTAAGTCATGCAAATCTGTCTGTCCACCTTTTCTTTTATAAAGTGTCTATCAACCTCAACATGATTCATTCTATCATGAAGTACTGGGTTGTGGGCAATAGAAATAGCAACCTTGTTGTCACAATACACCTTCATAGGTAATGGATTAGAGATCTTCAATTCTTCTAGTATTATCTTAATCCACAATGCTTCACAAATTCCATAAGCAATAGCCCTAAATTCAGTCTATGCCCTAGTTCTAGCTACCACTTTTTGCTTCTTACTGTGCCAAGTAACCAAGTTTCCCCCAATGAAGTTGTAATATCCAGAGGTTGATTTTCTATCCATTATGCTCCCAGCCCAGTTTGCATCAGTATATACTTCCACTTGAAGATGTCCATGGTTCTCAAACAATAACCTATACCTGGAGTTCCCTTTAAATATCTCATAATCCTATAAATAGCATTAAAGTGCTCTGGTCTAGGAGAATGCATGAATTGACTTACTAGACTGACTACAAAAGCTATATCAAGGCGTGTATGTGAGAGATATATCAATTTTCCAACCAGTCTTTGATATTGGTCTCTATTGATAACTTCTTCAGGCTTGGGAGGTTGTAGCTTCACATTAGAATCTACAGGTGTCTCAACAGCTTTACACCCTAATAGACTTGTTTCTCTAAGTTAGTCAAGCACGTATTTTTGTTGTGAAACAAAGATCCCTTTCTTTGACTTGGCAAACTCCATACCTAGAAAATACTTCAAGATGCCCAGATCTTTGATTTCAAATTCATTAGCAAGTGCCTTATTTAATCTCTCTGGTTCAATGCTATCATCCCCTATCAATATTATATCATCAACATAAACAATTAGAATAGCAAAATTTCCTTCATTTGAGGGTTTATAGAACATAGTGTGATCTGCTTGGCCCTGACAATAACCATGACTGTTCATGACATTTCTAAAGCATTCAAACTAGGCTCTAGGTGATTGTTTGAGGCCATATAGGGATTTTTTTTTAATCTACATACTTTGTTCTTGCCAAGTTTACCTTTGACCCCAAGTGGCAGCTCCATAAACACTTCTTCTTCTAGGCCCCTATTTAGGAAGGTATTTTTCACGTCCAACTGATGTAATGACCAATCATAGTCTATAGCCAAGGATAGTAAGACTTGTATTGAATTTATCTTGGCTACTGGTGCGAATGTCTCCTAGTAGTCTATTCCATATGTTTGTGTAAACCCCTTAGCTACAAGCCTCGCCTTGTATCTTTCTATACTACCATTAGCTTTACATTTAATGGTAAACACCCATTTGCACCCCACAGTCTTTTTTCCTTTTGGTAAGTCAACAACCTTCCAAGTATCATTGTTACGAAGAGCGTTTATCTCCTCTAGAATTGCTAATTTCCAATCTGGATGATCAAAGGCTTCCTGAACATTTCTTGGAACAAACAGGCTAGAGATATTGGAGGTAAAAGCTTTATGGCTTTCTGAAAGTCTATGATAAGAAAGATATTTAGCAATAGGGTGTTTGGTACATGTTCTGACTCCTTTCCTAAGAGCCATAGGATCACTGAGATCTGAAGATTCATTAACATGAATTGTAACAGAGGAAGAATTGCCTGGATTTTCAGGATGATCAATTATTGGAGGCGATTATTGATCATGCTCGGGAATTGTGAGTTGATCCTTACTATTTTGATGTAACCTACATTTGGAATAAACAAGAAGCTTAGAAGAATGATCATCCTATAGTATTCCTCTCCTTGCTTGTGGTACATCTATGCCTGGATCTAGAGAATTAGGATTTTCTTCTTTTTCATTACTTAAAACCTCATTTTCTTTCTCATAAGAGTTTTTTTTTTTTTTTTTTCAAAAAACTTCAAAGATAGGCATAGGTGTGGTAGTTTGCTAAAACTGATCTTCATTGCTCTTCTCTCCTAAAGATTATTTTGGTAAAAAACTTGATCTTCAATAAACACCACATCCATGACTATATGAAGCTTCTTCGTTCTAGGATTAAAGCACTTATACCCTTTTTTATTTGGAGCATACCCAAGAAAAATACATTTTTCTGCTCTTGGATCAAGTTTACTTGTAAGGGAATTAGGAATGTGAATGAAAGTAGTGCACCCAAAAACCTTTAAGGGTAAATCTAAAATTAATCTATTTTTAGGAAACGGATTTTTCAAAAATGATAGAGGAGTTTTGTATTGCA